TGTAATGGTGAATTTATTGAATAACGACTTTTTTCCACATTAACAGATTCGTACTTCTTACAAACATTGTTTCAATTCAGGTAGAACTAGATACGACTTCTCAGCTCGGTCAAAATGAATAAGGGTCTCCACGCCAGCATGATTCAACTTCGATTCCGAATGAGAAATTTCTTTCTGTCTTTCATCTATAGCTTTAACTACAAGATGACTAGATGAAACCAGAGCTCGGAACAAAGCAGTCGTTATTCAGCACCGAACAGCGATGTCCAACCTACTGAAGATCTTACCAGTGGTGCCATATTGAACCGCAAACGCATCATCGGACTCAACTCTCCTTGAAGGACACACCTAAGTATGAAATCCAAAATAACTGGGTCTTTTTGACGTTCCACAATAACCTCTAGGGTTTATTGTGGCACACACCTATTCAAACTCGACCAAATAAACATGGCGTCTCAATGAATGCGATTATTTTATTTTGGTGAGTGATCTTTCAGGTCAGCTAGGAGAAATAGGTCAGTCACAGAGTATTAACTCTACTACCATCGCCTTGTGAAGAGACAGTTGAGAGAGACAAGTTGACAAGACAAAGGTACATCTTTCTCAATCTATTGAGGACCTGATCGGCGGTCAGTCTACGACTATCTTAGTCAGGTAGGTAGGCAACACAAATATTTGGCTTAGGAACATCTTTCAAGCGTAACCGTTTGCTGACCTGCTCAGAGCTAGGGAGTTAGTTTTTCCTCCTTGTATTAGAATGAACACAATTTGGATAAATACCATCTACTTTAAAATACAAGAACTGTCTACCAATTCGTTATTATTGATTTGATAGTCGTATATAGGATTCCGCGTATGAGTTAAATAGTAATTTCAGAATATAACTGTTCCTGAAGCTTCCAGAGTTCTGCAAATAAATCCAAACATGTCGGACGGTTTTATCAATCTGCATTAATAAAAAAATATCATATATCTTGGAGTTGAGATGATTCTGCAACGTTACATGGCTGACGCACTACGAATAGCCATTTTGCTCCCTGGGTAGCTCGGGGAGTTATTAATATTGCCTATCCAGAACATGAGTCGATGCCGCTGACACCAATAAAAACGTAATTCCTACAGTTATCCCAATCGTCAATAGAGTAGTTACGAGACACGATGTTAGTTTTTCTATTGTAAGATGTAACGTAGCATTTCGGAGTATTCAAATCCAACATCTTTCGCTAGCACCAATTATAATTAAAGTCAATACCAGATTGCAAAAAATAATTTCGATCACGTATGTGTATGTATGATTCGATAGAGATGAATCATTTATTCAAACAGAAAAATATGTTTTAAATGCAAATTTCAAATAAGTTTGAGAAATTGGACAGTATCGAAATTGCTCGGTAATTTTAAAACACACTATGATCTCCTTTTTAAAGAATGGGGCAGATACGAGCAGTTTTCTATTACAACAGAAATCTGGAAAAAGTTATAATAAGATCCAAAATACCGAATATACCGCAGTGGTTCACATAAGGCAAGAATACAATCCTCAATGATGAAACTGGGGATCATGCCAATATCAGCAATTAACTTCTTGGGTTTTCTAGACTACTCGAAATAACGTTAGGATAAAGAGTATTCGTAGTAACTGGCCTTTCGTTAGAATTTGAATGATTGCTACTAGTAGCAACACAAACAATTGGGGAGTAGGTGGCAAACTTATTGAAATTATCTTTAATGAAAAGTTATAATATTCAATTAAAATATCAGATTCAGCATCAACTTCTATAAAATCATCTTATGCTTATTTCAAATTCAAAACAGATGGTGTGCAACTGTGGAATTGGTCCTTCCATTCAAGAAACTTCTTTCATGTCTTTAATTCTTTGGAAAAAATTTCTCCCCGTTTGATCAATATAAAGTTTAGGGCAAGAGCCACAAATCCACTTTTATACTCCTGACCTATCTGATACTGAAGTTTTGTCTTTATTGTTTTTAATAAGTTTTCCACGTCTAAGCAATCTTTTTTTTTTCAACGAGCGATATCACTGTTGGGTTTTTCGAGTTTGACCAATATAAAGTTTGGTACATTTTTCAAATTATCATAGAAGATGTTCAATGTGCATTCTACTCTACTACTATCTCAAGTTATGTGGGGGACGTATACTTTGGTTCGAATCAAAATTGTATCAATAAAAGGAAAACCCTGGTTATAATCACTAAATCCATATCATTTTATCAGATGCTACATACTCTGTAATGACAATGCTGATGTTTATGCAAATGTTAGTTTGTTATTTACTGAGTTCTACTTATGATAATGATTTGAATCCATTCATATTTCCACATATCAAAAGATGCGATTTTGTAAAAGTGTTATCTGAAGTTATTACATACAACATACTACTACAGTGAATTTCAAATACACTAATTTAAGTACAAAGTTTCTGAGATCCCCAACAATTTAACACTTTTGTAAAACACGTGTTGTGGTTCTGTAAACTATCCAGTGGAAATCTTACAATAAAGTGTTACTGTAACAGTAGCTACCGATTTTTCTTTCTTATATAATGCCGCCACTGTCAGTGGATCATTTACAGGGATTCAGCGGTTTCTTCATCGGTCATAGTTGAAACGCGTTCTGGTCGTAAGATATGCCTGATTTTAAGTGCTGTGGAACCGTATTTGCAATTTTTTGTCAAATATACGAGGGAATGAATATTTGCGTTATTGATGAATATTCAAATTGAAAATCAAAATAGAATCAGATAATTTTAATTTTTTCAGATGGAAGCAGCGATTAATGTTTACTGCGACATTATAAACAACAGAAGTTTCCGTCAAAACCGGCTTGCTTGGTACAAACATGAAGACATAGGTCTAGCCGCCATTGCAGACATGGTTTCATTGAACAGCTCTGTTTATGTCTTACTTAGGAAGAACTTTTCTTCTCACCCATTTTACATATCGATCTTGAATCAGTTTCACAGCGTTATGATGAACCAAGTACTGGGTCAAGCTTTAAAATTTTACAAGTGCACTCCTGGAGAAATGTCTAAGGAACAATACGAAGTGTTTTTGAAGTATCGAACCGGCTATACTTTTTGTTTGCCTTTCATTCTGGCTCTTTATTTATCGAAAAAGTATACCGAAGAGTTGAGTAAAGAGATAGTTCCGATATTGTTGCAGATGGAAAAGTTTCACCAAGCTGAGGTAATTATTTTTTATAAGAAGTTGTGAATATATTACCCTGTACCTTGATAAAAACAAGTGAGCCTAAGAATTGAATCATCACATTTTTTTAAACTGGAGGCAACTGACAGAGTTGACATATTTGGCAGTAAATATAAATGGCCTTATTTCCTTTTATAATAACTTCCAAGTTATTTTACTTTATTCAAGTATCTTTGGGTTATCAGCAGAACGGAAGTGTACTCTCATTATCATTATCAAGGAAGAGCTACAAGAAGTGATACAATAATATACATTTTTGGGAAAGAAAGTTCCTGGCTTTCTACTACTCCATCTTGATAGAAAGCCAGAAACTTTCTTTCCCAAAAATTAATCACTCCTAAAAATATAACCCCTTCAATTCAAATATAAATTTGTTACAAAAAGGCTCAAGTTACTGTTAGTAAGGATGGCTGTCACGAAAAAAATGTTACATTTAAACAGTTGAAACCTGTCAATAAAATAAAACAAGTCACCCTATTAAAAAGGTTTGACTCCTCACTGATAAAAGGAAGATTATCAAAATTTACATAATAAAATCGTAATATGATTTGAAATTATAACTGGCAAAACCCATGTGGCTGCAGAATACATAGAGAGAGAGATAACAAAACAGTTGACACTGACAGCTGTCATGTGATTGTTTGAAAATGGTTTGTATAAATCATTCAATCATTTTTACAATCACATTTTACAAAATGTATCCATTTTAATTTTGAAATGATTTTTTTACATACATGTTTCATAATATTTTCCCATTTCTTTTACTTATTTTTTGCAGAAAGATTTTCATAACTGGTTTGTTAAAACTGAAGAAGAACCTTATAATGATATTGAGGATGGTAAATGTACTTGGTTGGCAGTGGAAGCTTTGGATAAACTCAACCTCCGACAGCGAAAAATATTTTACGACAACTACGGAAAAAGCAGAAATGAATCTATTATGATAATCAAAAATTTGTATAAAGATCTGAGTATGCAAGACCATTTCGCAGAATACCAAGAGAAATTTTTCCTGTTTCTTTCCGGCAGTATAGGAAACCTTCAAAATGGGCAAAGAAATTGGCTTCAAGCATTCGTACGAAAGATCTATAATCAAGATATCAGTTGAATTGTAAAAACGGGGCTGATCTAGAATGGATTTCAACGTTAAAATGTATTATTATTAATTTTTTTCACAATCATAATCAGTTTTCATGAGTGAAAATGTATCTCTTATTTGAGTAACTTGTTACCATAAAAGATGGAAGAATAGAAGTAACGCTAGTTGCACACACACTGATTTTGGACGGCCAGTATAAAATCGGCCGATATTTTGTTGGTAGCGGGTGCTTGCACACTCACCGGATTTTTATCGGTCAAACAATCAGTTGCTTTGTTGTCGTAATTAGCACGCACTACCAAAACGAAGTTAATGCGTAGTAACTACAATTTCACCGAGCATTCGAGACTGGAATAGTAGAGTGTATTTAGTCATGTACGCCACTACTTCCCGGTACTGCCGGCGATACAGTGGCAGTGGACGGCTGCTCACCGGTATTTTACCGGCGACCATCATCAGTCGGCGTGTGTGCCAGGTCCCGTTCCCACATGTGGTTCACTATTGGAATTTGGACAACCGGTACAATGTCGGCCGTCCAAAATCAGTATGTGTGCAATTAGCGTAACGCTAAATGCACACACACCGATTTCGGACGGCCGATTTCATACCGGTCGTCCAAATTCCAGTAGTGAACCACATGTGGGTACGGTACCTCGAACACACGCCGACCGGTGATCGGCATCGATCACCGGTCACACTCACCGATTTTGGACGGCCGACTTTGTACCGGTCGTCCAAATTCCAATAGTGAACCACATGTGGGAACGGAACCTGGCACACACGCCGACCGGGGAGCGTCGCCGGTAAAATACCGGGCGTACATGACTAAATACACTCTTGCATACTCACCGGTTTTTTACCGACCATTCCAGTCTCGAATGCTCGGTGACATTGGTTTACTTTCGATGTATTACTGTAATGTAAGCATCTAATAATTGATAATTATACGTTTTCTATCAATCGCAAACAAAATATTTTGGAGTTCACTAACACTTCTGGGTGATTATACTGCAACACAGTGATTGAATTAATATAATTTTACAACAATCGCCATAGTTTTATCTTGGCGAATAAACTATCAGAAATATCTATGAACTTTGATTAGGTCAGAATCAATCCGTTATTTTCAGCTATATGTGCGGTTCGATATTCTATCTTTCTTATCCATGTATCTTCAGAACCACCAATATTTTTATCTATTGAATCAAGATTATTATTGAAGAAATAGATTGCATTGTGTATAAGATGTGTAATCAAGATAGGTTATTTATTATACAAATATACATACGTGAATTGTTCAAGAAATAAGGTGAATGTCCATATTTCGCATGCTACATACATTCGCCAAATGAATCAATGAAGTCGCCCCAGAGCGCCAATTAATTTTTATTGTTGTTTTTATTCTTATCGTTGTTTCATAATTTCACAAATAAAACATTCGAGTAGCGATTTTCTATGTCGGTACACTCATCTGAAACAAATATTGAAAGTTTCTGTTGTTTAGCATTTTTAGTTTGTTATTGAGAGGCATACAAGTTAGAAGTGTTTTGCGTGTTCGGCAATTTTCCACTATCAAAAAAATGGATCAAAGAATTTGCATCAAATTTTGTCTAAAAAACAGAATCAAGTGCTCAAAAAAATTAGGAATATTGACAGTAGCATCCGGTGGTACAAACTTTTCACAGAGAGTCGTGAAGATGTGAATGACTATGCTCGCCCAGCACATCAACAACCGATGAAAATATTGAGGAACTGAAGAAAATTGTTATGAAAAATTGTCGAATCACTAAGAGAGAAGTTGCTGAGTATGTCGGCATATCGGTTGGCTCATATCATGAAATTTTTTCGTGAATTTTGGGAATGAAGCATTTGGCAGCGAAGTTCATTTCAAAATTGCTGAATTTTGACAAAAAACTGTCGGTCGCATGAGCATCGCTTAGGAATTGTTGAATGCCGTCAACGGCGATCCAAATTTGCTTAAAAGGGTCATAACTGGTGATGAATCATGGGTACCTATATAATGTTGACATCAAAACCAATGTTCAATCGTCCCAATGGAAGGACACAGGTGAGGCCAGACCAAAACAAGCGTCCCAAGTTCGATCAACAGTCAAGGTTTTTTTCGATTACCGTGGCGTAGTGCATCATGAGTTTTTGCCAAATGGTCGTCCGGTCAATAAGGAGTATTATACTGAAGTTATGCAACGCATGCGAGAAACAATACGAAGAAATCATCCAGTATTGTGGAAAAACAATTCATGGCTTTTGCACCACGATAAGACACCTATATATACACAGAAAAGGCCGCAGGAGGCGCGAAAATTTTTTGGGATACCGCACCTGTTTAAAGCAAAATACGTAATAGTTGCATAAATGCAAACAAAAATTGTGTATTACCGAAAATTATACGTATTAAACTGACCATTAAAAAAACAAAAACAAAGAAAAAGGGTTGTCTTTGAGTTATTTAATATAAATGAACTCTTCTCAATCTATAAATAATACTTTTCTCGTCTAATGTAACAGTTTTGTTGAAAATTGCTACAAATATTTCATTACTTACTTAATGATGTTTATAGAAACAGGTCTAAAAGTAAATTTTATTGTCCAGCAAGAACCAACGGCGAGGTGAGAGTCGTGTCTTGCCAGGAAAGGAAAGGAAGGATGGGGTAGGAAGGAAGGTTAAATCTGCTTTGTTTAAGTGAATTCACAAGGCACCCGCAAACTACTTTTAATCGGCGGTCATACAAGTTCAATATAATCTGCGAGGGTCCCGCATTTTGAAAGGTGAATTGAAAGGTGTATTTTGTAATTTTGGATAGGAAGGAAAAAAATAAAAAAATAAACTAAAAGTAAATATAACATTCGTTCTTAACCAAGACGAACACAAACTCAAAAAAACAAATTTCCAATTAAAAATAAAAACATAAAAATAAAATTATTTGCTTGAGTTACAAACTGTAATAAATAAAACATAACTCTAATATTTGGTGATATCTTTTGTTGAGTGCTTAACTTGAATAAATAAAATATGCATTTTTATATACAGTATATAGTATAGTATATAAAAAAATTAGTGCACTATCGTCTAAAAAGCCACTATCGCTACCTATATGGGCGACAATTAGTCGTTGCCCTTTACCCGTTGGTCCGCGTAACCCTGTTGATAAACCGTCCACAAATGCTTGACGATAACTAGTTACAGTAGTATCTTGCCAGATCTTAGATACTGTGTGACCAGCATTCACCCACGTTTTATCCAGATAATAAATCTTTTTGTAAGCAGAACGCCTTTCTCTAATAAAGCGAAGATATCTCCGTCGCCATGAGACTATATCTTCTCTTTCTATTAAGACAGATTTACGGGATCGTTTGGCATATATAGATTTTAAATCTTCTTTTATTATTTTCCTTAACTTCTCTTTGCTCATTTTTGGAATGAGATCATTATCCATTACCTTTGTCCTAATGGATTCAAGGGTTGGCGCTTTATTCTCAAAAAAGAAAGAATGAATGGTATAGCGTACAAAATTGTTCTGGTACTCGTCCAATTCAATTTTTTTTCTACCACGACAATGTACTTTTGGAGCTTGCACAATCCCAGTCACCTTTTTTTCACGTACAATGCGTTCAATTGTCGACACGGATATTCCCGTTGAAAATGAACACTTGGCTACAGATTTCACTGTACGGAGTGTATTTTTCAAATTTTCATACACTCTACAGATAATCTGTTTTTCTTCTAATGACATAAACTTCCGCTTTCTTTGTAAATTACTTGGACCTGCTACGGCATCCATCTTAATACTATAAAAATAATAAAATTCAATCATATTATTCAGCTATTTGTCAGTTGTTTACTTACCTGAAAATTTATTTTTATGTTGGTGTAGTGCAAATCTTTGTTAGATTTTCACTAGAACAGATCAACAAATCCGCAACACGTGTTTCGCTGCACAGTAGCTTTTTCAAGCGTGTTCACTAACAAACTGAATTCTACATATATTGTGATTTATATATACTTTTTGAAATATTACTATCTACCTAGAAACTAATAATATTCTAGGAACTAATCAATGAGAGTTATACCTGAGTTTAACGAACATTTATACCTGAGTTTAATGACTAGGTCAACTAATTACCTCACAATAAAGTGTGAATGTGATGAAAATGTATGATAATGTATTTTGAAAAACAAATATCGACCAACTCTATCTTATATTTTGAAGTTAATAAATATAACAGTCTATTCAATAAATATAATGAAATATACTTAATAAATACAAAACAAAGTGACCTTCACAAGAAACGGAATACACTACGCCTATGCAGATAAGGACACTTGATAATGAAGAAACCGAATGACTATTTATGGCATTTTAAGGACGCAATTATGATAGACCTACGAAGTGTTGATCAGTTTCCGATATTTCGAAGTATTTAACGAACTGGTCCACCTATTCGCTCGTACATCCTATCGATATTCAGAAGCTATCTTGTTACGGGGGGCAAATTTTATGGAATAATCTCACTTTTCAATTATTTACAATGGCGATGCATAGACAATGAAAATGACTCCGGTATGAATTTAGTTCTAACATTTAACATTGTTGCCGTTAGCTCTCAGTTCAATTTGTTTATGAGTTACCTTCAATTGAAAATTGTTATACAATTATAGGTGTCACACGTACAAATTGAAAAATCAAACAAATTGTCAGCTGTGCGCCCAGATAAAACATCATGAAAACCCATAAAAGGTTCTACCACATTACCATCTTTGACATATCTAAAAATGATTGAAAATTGTGATGTACAGGTAATATCGGTAGTTTTATCAATTTACCATGCAAAAAAAAACACTTTCAATCTCCATGCTAATATTTTTCTTATTAATATATGCCACACTGTCTATAAGCCCATTTTGGATGGTTTTTGTGGTGCCCGAAAAAACGCTACCGTTTAAAAAAGTGCCAAATTGTGAATCATCTTTGCCCCGTAACATTAAAAGTTCCTTGTAATTGCCGCGATTAATCGAATCTTCAGTTTCATCGTGTCCGCGAAAAGCTAATTCTTGGGAACCCAAATAAATCGTAATATCGATAAGTCTTTTCAAATTCGACCGATTCTCCCTAACCTGATTATTAAAAGAAATTATGGCCTCTTTTTGAGCTG